AGCTGCGGCTTACCCTGCTGCTGAGTCATATTGGTCCCTGTGGCCACATAATCCTTGACCTCTTACCCAGGAAACAGAATGACTAGAGGGGGGATCCCAGAGAGGGCTCAACACAGGTGAGTTTCGAAGCCAACCAGACCTATTTTTCCCTATTTTCCTGTTTTTAAACTGGAGTAAATTATACATACCATAAAATTTAACATTTTAGTGTACAATTCAGTGGTATTAACTACATTTATCATTACGTACCCATCACTATCAATTCCAAAACTTTTCATCATCCCACACAGAATTCTGCCACTGTCAGCCGTGATTTCCCATCCTCTCCTTCCCCCAGTGCCGCCTCTGCCCTCCCGTCTATGAATTTGCCTAGTCTGGGTACTTCTTTTAAGTGGGATCGTACAATATTTGTCTATCTGTGTCTGGTTTCTCTCACTTAACATAATGTCTTCAGGTGTTCATCCATGTTGTCTCATGTGTCAGAATTTTATCCCTTTTAAAAAAAAGAAATCTCTCCCCTTGTGTAAGGTTGAAGGATAGTCCATGTGTGTATCCAGAACACATTTTGAATCCTACTTGGCTGTGCATCTGAAGACAGCTCGCCTGATACCGCAGGTCTCAGAGTCTTCTTCAGCGGGGGAATGATAATCTGTATTGTACATGGTAATGGGGTAACTGAGAAAGGCCTCAGTGAGTTCTTAAAAGATATGGAATTAGGGGGCAGGCACTGTGGTGTAGCAGGTAGAGCCGCTGCCTGCAGGGCCAGCATGCCATAGAGGTGCTGGATCAGGTCCCGGCTGCTCCACTTCCTGTCCAGCTCTCTGCTGTGGCCTGGGAAAGCAGTGGAAGATGGCCCAAGTCCTTGGGCCCCTGCACTCATGTGGGAAGACCTGGAGAATGCTCCTGGCTCCTGGCTCTGGATCAGCTTAGCTCCGGCCGATGGAGCCAACTGGGGAGTGAACCAGTGGATGGAAGACCTCTCTCTCTCTCTCTCTCTCTCTCTCTCTCTGTCTCTCCTTCTCTCGCTGTGTAACTCTGACTTTCAAATTAAATAAATAAATCTTAAAAAAAAAAAAAAGGTATGGAATTAGAAGGAGAGAGAAATACACTGTGATCAGCTGGCGTAGCCCTGTGCCTGGAAACTTCTGCCTTGTAAGGCTTTAACTGAGTAGGGGGCCCAAATACTCAATGCCTCTTGGCTGAGATCACATTTGCTTCTTCTCTACCGGCCCCCTCCCATGGACCACCTTCCATTCACTCCCCCCCCCCCTTCTTTCTGATTGAGAATCACATGTACCAGCCCTGGAGGCATTCTTTCTCTTCCTGGGTGAATTCATATGTCTCTGATCAAGTTCACCGAGATACTGGCTTTAAAGTTTAACTCTCAGAGAGCAGGCGCCTTCTTTCTGTCATTTCCACGTTTAGGCCATATCTTTTGCTCTAATCTCTAAGACCCCACGGTACTTACCGTCCATACCTCATTCTGTAAAACCAAATCAACCCAGATCGTCACTCCTCTCTCCTCATTCAGCAGACTCTGGTTCAAGTGACGTTTGACGATGGGGAAAAAAAAAAGGCAGATCTATTCTGAGGACAAGCCTTGTCACTAAGGGAGGATGCTTTTATGAATCGGACAACCCGAATGTTCCAGTAAATAGCGTGCATCTGAGGAATACCGTGCGACCCTGGAGAGGATGGCAGTCATTTGCAAGGAAACATTGTAGTGCATTGCCATTTTCCCAGCAGCCACAGCACCTCGTAGTCCCTACTGGAAGGGTAAAGGCTATGTGACTGGGCAGCGAGATCCCTCGTGGGAATGGAGGTGGCATGGGCAGCACAGCGGGCAGCAGCCAGTCGTGAACATGGCATTGCCTTCAAGAGCTCCCACCCTGCCTTCTGCTTAGTAACCCATCAGTGATGTGACATGTGCCATGCACAGGTCACCCCACTGTGTTCCCCCTGGGGTAGCACATGTCCTGTGCATGAAGGAAGGAGCTGACATAAAACCTTGAATTCCCTGTTCGTTACGCCTTTTTTTTTTTTTTTCTTTGTGAACATACAGTGTGAATGGAGTGACAGAATGTGAGATGGTGTTGAGGTATCAGGATGGAGCCTCCTGTTGATTTCTGTCTCTGGGGAGGAAGTCCCAGCCCGGGTTCACAACCCACTCATTAGCGAGAATGGTTTTCACCGGTGAGCCGAGGGTCACCGAGGCCACGCCCATGTGCCCAGGAGCAAAGGGGAAGCCTCTGCTTTGACGTTTTAACCAGGACTCCAGTTCATACTTTGTGGCCCTGAAAAATGGGAAAGGTCCTGATTGGCAGGTGCTGTGTCTTGCCCATTTTTGGAGTCCCTGCAGCATTTACCTGGTTGCCTGGACATAGCAGACCCTCCCTAAGTAACTAATGTTGAATTATAGGTCTGCTCAGGCTGCCATGGCAAAATACCATAGCCTGAGCGGTTGAGACAACCCACGTTTATTTATTTTCTCATGGTTCCAGAGGCTGGATGTCTGAGATCAGGGTGCCAGTGGGATCAGGTGGGGGTTCTCTTCCTGGTTCGTGGCGAGACACCTCACCGTGCCCTCATGTGGCGCAGAAAGAAGAAACGCCCTCAGATGTGTCTTCTTAAAAGGCACTAATACCATCCTGGGGACCCCAGCCTTATGACCGCATGTAGCCCTAATTGTTTCCCAAAGCCTCATTTCCAAAATACCATGAAGGGTTAGGGCTTCCTCTTACACGAATTCTCATGAATTTTGGGAAGACATAATTCAGTCCCCAACAGCACCCAAAAAGTGAAATCAGACTGTTAGATCTTTAGCCACTCTCCCAACAGAGCAATGCAGAACTGACAAGATAGGAGTACACTTAGGAAAGTGGAATATAATGTGCATGAATGTACATACGCACACATGTGCAGTACACACATGCACACGCATGCACACACATGCACACACATGTTCACACACATATTTTCTCTTCTGGAACCTTTGTTTTTTCTTTGAGCTTGGAGATGTCTGATGAGCGTGCTTGACCCTGAGCGGTGATGGTAGAGAAGAGGCCGTGTGTGTTCATGTGCTTGACCTGGAGTCCAATTTAGAAATAGCCGCTCCCTGTTAGCTCTGCATCCCTAAGCAAAGCACCTTTCCCCTTCCTGCTCTCGGAACCTGGTGTTCTGTGGTCATTTCAACAGTGACAGAGCGAGGTGGGTAACGTCCAGACGGTACTCATGAACAGCTTGTGATGCTTTTCTTCCCCGAGTCCTAGTGCACATATTTAGATTGTCAGGGAAGGATATTTAGATTGCAAGGAAGAGTGTACAAGAAAACATAATTAGACAAAGACTGTTCTTTTAAAAGGCAAAAGGAGGGGCTGGTGTTGTGGCACAGTGGGTTAAGCCGCCACCTCCCACACTGGCATCCCATGTGGCTGCTAGTTCATATCCTGGCCTCCACTTCCCATCCAGCTCGCTGCTAATGGGCCTGGGAAGGCAGTGGAGGATGGCGCAAGTGTTTGGGTCCCTATCACCCATGCGGGAGACCAGGATGGAGTTCTTGGCACCTGGTTTCAGCTTGGCCAGCCCTTGCTGTTGTGGTCATCTGGGGAGTGAATCAGCAGATGAGAAGATCTGCCCCTCCCTCCATCAGTCACTCTGACAGTCAAATAAATAAATATTTTTTAAAAGGCAAGAGAAGGGTAAATTTTTAATTTATACAACTTAAGCATTATTCCAGGCCATTTGACCTTAATTTGAATATTTCTTTAAGGAAGATACTTTTATTGTTTATATTTAAAAATTATGGGGGTAGTATTTGGGATAGTGGTTAAGACTACACCCCTATATCAGAGTGCCTGGGTTTGAATCCCAGCTTTGCTCCTGATTCCAGCTTCTTGCTAATGCACACACTGGGAGGCAGCAGGTGATGGCTAAAGTACGTAGGTCACTGCTGTCCACATGGGAGATCTAGATTGAGCTCCTGGCTCCTGACTTCAGCCTGGCCCAGCACTGGCTGTTGCCAAAATTTGGATAGTGAATCGGTAGAGCAAAATCAATCTTTGTCTCTGCCTTTCAAATAAAGTAAGTAAGTAACTAGATTTTAAAAAATAACATTATAGGAACGTAGAGTGGTTGGGGACAGATGGCCAGGATTCAAATCCCAGTCTCAGCACTTACTGAGTCCCTGGGGACTTCCTTCCTCCTTGTACGGATTAATAGCAGGACCCTTCATAGCGTTGTGAAGAGGATTCGAGACTGCTATTTGTAAGTTGCTCAGAGCAGTGCCTGCCACTGTATGGATGCTTCTTGACTTCCAATAGGGTTCCGTCCTGAGAAAGTTAGAAAATGTCACAAATGGCAAATGCATTTCCTCCACACCACACACTGAACATTGTTTCTGTGCATAGTCTGCCTTCGCTTTGTTCCCTGAACACTCATATTAGCCTACAGCGGGGCAAAATCATCTCACCCAAAGCCCATTTTACAAGGCGGAATTGAATCTCTCGTGTTACGTATTGACTGCTGTCCTGAACATGATGAGCCAGGACAGGCGCTGTCGTATGCTTTTGCACCATTGTGAAGTTGAGAAATCATAAGTTTGGGATCATCTGTGTAACAGACTTTGTTAGATAGATGACGCTTTTTCAAAAAGTTAAGTAGGTGACGCTTTTTCAAAAAGTCAGTTCAGCAAAAAGTAGAGGGATGGGGAAGCCCTGGATTTGACAGCCCTGCCAGAGAGCAAGTACCGATTGTCGATAGAAGAAAACTGCTAGGAAGCAGGGCAGAAAGAAGGTTCATCTGTCAGTGATCCTTCCCTTGGCTCTTTGTTCAGCCGTGTTCTGATCACCTACTTCTTGGGGTTTAATAAAAATCGTTTGCGTTGATACACTTGCGCTCTGAGACAGTCCATCCGTTGGAAAACTTGTAGGAACCTGAGACTGCATGTTTAGGACAAGTCATGTCTCACCACCTACCTCTTTTCCATTGTCTTCTTCCCCCAGCCCAAGCTTTTGGCCAAGGAGCTTCTTGACCTCGTGGCGTCTCACTTCAATCTGAAGGAAAAGGAATACTTTGGAATAGCGTTCACCGACGAGACGTAAGTGATACCTTGGGCCCCCGGACCCTGAAGGGAAAGTGCAGGACCTGGATTTGGGCTGTCTCAGCTGCCAGCAGTGAACTCAGCTGCAGGCCACTTGGGTCCTGTGTCCTGGGGTCAGGCCAAGTTCATTATCTGAATTTCAATGGCCTTGTGATCATGCCTGGAACAGCCAAAGGATATAATTAAGGATGATGCTAATATTATGAAATTATAAGGTGAACTGGTTCTTATAATCAAGCAGGTTCGTGTTTAGAACAAACCTTTTTTTTTTTTTTTTCAAACAAGTAGGTTTCTATGGGTTTGTTTTCTATTAACATTAAGTGAAAACTTCTGGAAATTCAACATCTCTTCCCCAGTGTTGGAATAACAATAACAGGAAGTGAATTTGATGATAAAATTCAAAAATGAGAAGTGTCTGGGCAGTTTTCATTGTCTGAGCTGAAACTGTGTAAAAAGCGAAACTCATCTGATGAAAAGCATATTTGCTTTTAGCCGTCTTTCAGTTTGCCTCCATAGAGGTCTGGTTTTGCAGTGCACGGAAGGAAAATAGTAAAATGTCAGTGTTTTTCTTAGTAGACTGTTAACAAAGCAGTGTAGCAGAAACCCACACAGTCGCCCTCAGTATCTGCCACGCGTTGGCTCCTGGACCCCGCAGTCCCGCGTCTGAGGATGTCTGACTCCCCTCATATAAAGGGCACAGTATTTGCATGCGACTCCCACTCATCCTCATCCTCTCTCCGTTACTTAAAATACCTCAGACAGTGATAACGCCGTGCAAATAGTAACAGCGGACCATTTAGCGATAATGACAAGAGAGAACTGGCTATACGTGCTCAGTACCGAGGCGGTTTTCTCTGAATGTTGTGGATCTGAGGTTGATCGAATCCTTGAATGCAGAACCCTAGCGTAGGAAGAGCAGACTGTATACGCATGCGCCCTCCCTGCCCCCTTCCCGCCTCTGAAACCGGAGTCTGGAGGGGAGTCCCTAAGGGTGTAATCGTTCAGGGTCAGGCTTGTGGCTGGGGAACCCACGCCTGCAGAATCAGGGGGCGCCGTCGCCACGCGATGGCTCTGAAGCAGGAGCAAACCAGCATCTGTGCTGGTCATAGACGCACTCAGCCTGGGGAGCCCCAAATGGACACGGTGGTCGTTTGATTTATTACCCAAATGAAGGCACTGTGAATAAAAGGGGATGTAATTAGGGCTGTCGTGGGCCGACTGGAACATATGGTCACCCTATAAATTAGTGACATCTCAGGCAGCAGTGTGCTCAGGAGCAAGCTGTGGGAACAAAGCCACATCTTCCTCAAGAAAAGCTGCGTGAGGCAGGCAGGTGTTGTGGCATAGCGGGTAAAGCGACCATCTGTGACCCTGGCATCCCATATGGGTGCTGGTTCGTGTCCTGGCTGCTCCACATCCGATCCATCTCCCTGCTAAAGGCCTGGGAAAAGCAGTGGATGATGGCCCACGCTTTTGGAACCCTGCCACCCACGTGGGAGACCTGGAAGAAGCTCCTGGCTCCTGGCTTGGCCTGGCCCAGCTCTGGCCATCGCATCCATTTGGGAGGGAGTGAACTAGCGGACGTCTCTCTGTCTCTCTCTATAACCCTGACTTTCAAGTAAATAAATAGATCTTAAAAAAGAAGAAGAAAAGAAAAGAATAAAGCCAAGAAGAGCAAGGCCAGCCCTGGTCCTGGGGCCTGCAGGGACCTGAACAGGAAGAAGAAGGTTGGGCAGGCAGGCAGGGTCTGGTTGCCCCGGCCCAGAGGAACTGCTTGCCTGCAGGTGGCGCTGAGTAAGCACAGCTGTGAGGGCATGGGGGAAATGAGCCAGTGCCGTAGTTAAAAACAAAACAAAACAAAACAAAAACCACAAAACTTTTACACAAATACACATCTAGAGCGATCTCTTCCAAGAAGGCAATTTTTTCTACCCTTTATCTAGAGAATTACCCGTAAGCCCCTTAAACTGTTCGTCACTGTTTTTTCACTAATTAGAAGGAAACCATACGTTCCAGTTCATCATATCCCCATTGTTCGCATTTCCCAAAGAAATTTACTTGACGACAAGATCCTGCCGACTCCAGATGAGTCCCAGTTAGACTTCCTTTTTGAATCAGTGAGAATCAAAGAATGAACATGTCATCCTGAGCCAAAGAGGAAGAAGCCTGGCTGCTGAATGTTGCGTAGACAGCTGCTGCAGCAGGGCCCAGGGGAGCAGGCCATGGGGTAGAAGGTCACACTGCTCCCAGAGGAATGAAGCGCACCGGAAGTCACACAGCACCCGAGGGAGAAGCGCCCGACGGCGTCCAAGCTCATACGGCTCAGCCTCAGATGCTGCACCTGTGCTCTCCTGGTTCTCTGCCGACCTGGAAAGTGTGTGTGTGTGTGTGTGTGTCCCCTCCAGCAGAGGAGCTGACAGCTCCGAGGCTCTGAGCGACGGTGAGGGAGAAGACACGAGCCATGCTCCCTGCGTGTCTAGAGGACGTACAGTCACTTCCCATCACCTTCCCTGGAGTCTGGGTGCATGGGCTTCTCCAGCAACGGCAGGAGCAGCAGGCAGCCGGCAGGGGAGCAGTGGAGAAGGGCCGGGCTGGCCAGCGGTTCCTGAGAAGGAGCTGACAGATGTGCCTGATGCCCCAGGGGAAGAGGGCAAGTGTCCAGGCCCAGAGGAACTCATAACCGACACCTCCAGGGGACGCAGATAAGAACAGAATCACAGGAGGCAGAGGGAGGCCAGGACCCAGAGGCAGTGGTCTGGACCAGGGACTTCTATGTTGGGAAGCAAAGTGTTAGCAGTAGAGTATGTACCCCAGCCCTCCCGCTCTGTGCCCCAGGACACCGACACAAGATAACACCAATCACTGTGTTTTCAAATTGTGTGTGTGTGACTTATGTACAAGCTATTAAAAAAAAAAAAAAAGCAGTGGAAGCTTCTCCCTGTGTATAGCCTGTGGTATGCCGCACGTGCGTGCCTTTTTCCTAAATCAAACACCCAGGAAAAGCTTGTACACCATAAAAGAGCACACGCATGCAAAAGTGTCTTAGCAGCCCCAGCATGCCAGGTAGCAGAATTTCTAAGAGTGAAATACATGACTCTTGGATCAGAGTCTGCACCATTCTTTCAGTATGAACTGCCATAGATAGGCTATGGCATTAAGATGGGACCTGAGAAAAGATTCATAAAATAGAGTGTGGACAGGTGGACAGGAAATTGTAACTTTCTCTCCCCCATGTAACTCCTTCTCTCCTGCCCAGTTTGTGTGCGTAAATAGAGTGTCTGGATTCAGAAGCAAAGATTTATGCCCAAGAATGTTGCAGCATTAATATTAGTGCTGCCTTCTCTTTTTTTTTAACTTTTATTTTAGAAAATTAGAGGAGAATTGCAAAGATAGTAGAGTTCCTGTTTACCCCCTACTCAGCTTCCCCAAATGTCAGCACCTTACAAACCACATCACATCGGTCAAAATTATGAAATTGACATTGGTGCTATATTTTTAACTAAACCATGAACTTTATTCAGATTTCTCCAATTTTTCCGTGAATGTCTTTTCCCAGCCCAGGACTTGATTGCGTGCATTCCATCTCCTTTTATTTTTACTACCTCTGTTGTAACAAAAAGATAAAGGTGATCATTTGTCATTGATTGGAGTCATGGTGAGACATGTAGACGACGACAGTTTGACAGCCATAAACAATTCTGAAGCAAACTGCGAGCTTGTTGTAAATTTGAATTTAGGCCGGCGCTGCGGCTCACTAGGCTAATCCTCCACCTTACGGTGCTGGCACACCGGGTTCTAGTCCCGGTCGGGGCACCGGATTCTGTCCCGGTTGCCCCTCTTCCAGGCCAGCTCTCTGCTGTGGCCAGGGAGTGCAGTGGAGGATGGCCCAGGTCCTTGGGCCCTTCACCCCATGGGAGACCAGGATAAGTACCTGGCTCCTGCCATTGGATCAGCGCGGTGCGCCGGCCGCAGCACACTGGCCGCAGCGGCCATTGGAGGGTGAACCAACGGCAAAGGAAGACCTTTCTCTCTGTCTCTCTCTCTCACTGTCCACTGTGCCTGTCCCAAAAAAAAAAAAAAAAAGTAAATTTGAATTTAACGTAGGTGTTTATGTCTGGCTAGAGTCATGGTCCTCACCCTAGGCTCCATGTAGGAATCAGCTTGGACACTATAAAATACCAGTGCCTGGGGCTGACACCCAGGAATTCGGATCGCATTGATGTGGGTGAGCACTGTTTTTTTTCAGAGTTCCAGTTTATTGTAACATGCAGTCAAGTTTCAAAAGCCCCTTTGTAGAAAGAGGAAGGGTCGGAGGAACTATCCTCTGCTCCCTCCCTGTGGATCTCAGGAAGGAAGTAGATTCTGCTTCCGCTTTGGGTCCTGGGGCATGTACAGTATCACAGTGGCTACTGGAGTTGAGGACCAAAGTTCAGATTTAATGGTCCTGGGTGTAAAAGAGTAACTGAGATTTTCTCTTTTTTTAAAGATTTATTTTATTTACTTGGAAGACAGAATGACAGAGAGAGAGAGAGGGACTAGAGAGAAAAAGACAACATGTGTATGTACAGAGAGAGAAAGAAATATCAAGAACTTGTATTAGTTGGTTCACTCCCCAAATGGCTGCAATGGAAGGGGCTGGGCCAAGCTGAAGCCAGGAGCCAGGAGCTCTAATCCAGATCTCCCACGTGGGTGCAGGGGCCCAAGCACTTGGGCCACATTTCGCTGCTTTCTCAGGAGCATTGACGGGGGGCTGGATCAGAAGTGGAGCAGCCTGGACTCAAACCAGTGCTCTGATATTGGATGCCGGCATCGCAAGCAGCATCTTAACCTGCTGTGTCACGACGCAAGGCATTGTAATTGAGGTTTTCTTTTACAAAAGATTGTCATCCATTGTTGAGAGCGTTATTTTTACATTTCATTTTGAAATATTTCCATTGTTGTTCTAGCACCCTTGTTTTAAAATTGTTGATTGGGAGGAACACAACAGAGCATCAACA